ACAAGGCTTGATGGGTGACTTGTTGACAGACACTGGCTTCATCCTTGACCAAGGGATTGTATACGCTGCCACAGAAGATGTTGTCCTCGACTTTTTGAAGGTTATTCAGATCCTCGCACCTGGAAGGCTGCTTCCTTCGTTCAAAGTAAACACAGAATTATAATCTCATGACCATTCATCTCTTTTACCAGCCATTAGCAAAACGTACTCACACTTTCTTTATTTTATTGCCAATCTACTTTGAACTGAATAGAGTGAGTCGGGACATACACTACTTCATATGGCAGTTCAGTGCGGCATGGTCCGGCTAGTCCGAGAATTGCTCGCCATGGGCATAGATCACACAGCTATGGACAGGAACCGGAAGACAGGTAAGGTGACCTTGGGTCTGTTAGTGCTGACCATCATCTTGCATACTTGAGATACCTTTTTAACAACTTTCTTCGTTTTCCTGTAACATGCTTTAGCCCTTCTTTTTGCACAAATGACATCGAATGTAGAGTTGACCCGAATGCTTTCGCAGGCCAAAGTCCCGCCGCGTCCTACGGTCCCTGCATTCAGTGTTGACACAACCATCTCAGCCTCGAACATAAAGGAGACGATTGCAGTACTGATACAGAAACACGAAGGTGTCCTCATCAAAGCATTGGCAAAGAAACAGGAGAACAAAAAGAAGGAGCTTAGTGAGCTGCGTGATCGATCCATGCACATCATTGGACTTCGGGACGGGACAATTGCTATGGATTCAGATCCGGACGAGATTTTAGAACACCTCTCGGGGGATTCATCACATTCATCCGCATCTTCAGACGAATCTGAACAGCATTTGCCAGTGCTCGAGTCGAAGGGGAATGAGCGCAAGAGACGGTCCAGGACAGAGATCACTGAAGGTACTATCAAGAAACTAGCAATGGAATCTGGAGCCGTGAAAGTGGGAAAGGAAAGACTTGATATCTTGGACCAGAGTCAGCTGGCGTTTATTCGGAAAGGATCCATGCTCTGGGAGAGAACGAGGGCCAAACAACTATTTGGAGATATTTCTGGTCTGGTCCAATCAACAGAGATGCAAGTCTGGGTCTGCGATTCTGTAGAGACACCCACTTTCAAGGACTCGACGGCATCCACTTCGTCTTTAACAGGATCAATCGCGTTATCAGAGACGAAGATCAGCGCTCTGGCGCTTTCAGCTGCTGGATTACATCTCTATACGGAGCAGCAACCGTCAGGTGGTGGCGCGACGGCGCGACATTTAGAAAACTGGAGTCTGATCGAGATTGACAGGCAGGCGCTCATCACCAAGAATACAGGAGAAACAGCACTGATCAAGATGTGCGGTCTGATTCCACGAGGAGGTCGCAGCCCGTCTGGTGAACAACTGGTCATCCACTCTGTCTCTGCTCCGGAAATAGTCAGAGCCATCACTGATGCCAAAGCGCGACTGATGGGTCATCAAAGACTGGCAGCCAAAGACAATTGGATAATGCACCGGATCAAGACCTGGAGCACATTGTTTGGCGTCGATGAGCGAGAAATGGATGTCGTACTGTCGAACCTGCCCGAATGCAAGGACAACACATTGACCATCAAACCTGCACCGCATGGCCACAAGGGTCATAGCCTTGCGATGACGGGTGCATTTCTTTGTCTGATCCGGGATGTCGATACCTGCCTGCAGATCCAGTACATGGGTGTGGTGACTGTGGACGACGGATGGAGCCGACCAGAGCTCGTTGGGATCTTGAAGGAGACAGTGGGATCCAGGAAAGACGTATGCGCCTGGGAGTTCACCTCTTGTGGATGGACGACTACAACTGTCCAGGGCTTTGTTCAGGGACTAGGTTCAAGCAATGGGGATGATAATCACTGCAGAAGCATCACCTTGACAGAAAACAAATTTAAAGGCGACGACAGTGTGGGACACCTGCTGGCGAATTGTTTCCAGCGACTCAAAGGATTGGAGAGCATTGATCTAAGAGACTGCGATATAGGGCTGGACGGAATGGAAGCTCTGGTCCATTGCCTCAAAGGCGTTGTAGAGCTGCGGATCCAGGGAAACAGGGCGGACGATCGCTGGTGGCAATGGATGGAAACGGTTCTTATACAAAATCCGCAGATGCAGAGATGCAGTCTCGTAGCACCTATCGCCCCTACAGACGCACAGTCAAGTCTTTTGAGCATCGAGCGCCTCCGGTCTCTAAAAGACCTAGTAGAACTGGATCTGTCCCACCATCCCATCACTACAAAGACTCTACAAGTTCTCGAGACATGTCTGAGGGACCAAAAGCAACAACACCTTACGACGTTGATTTTGTCACACTGCCAGCTGAGCTGGTCGGATCTCTCGTCGCTATTTGCTGCTATCTGCGAGATAAATGCCTCGACCAAATCTACGCTCAATGTGAGCAAGAACCCACTGTTCAATGCCGAAGAGTCGATCCTGGACTGGATCTCGTCGGTCAAGAGGGCGCGGGTCAAGGTCCCATTTGGATTACAGATAACAGACCTGGTCATGGACGACGAAACACTGCAGCGCATTCTGAATCCACTTGAGCACGCAACCTGTTTTAATGAGCTTAACATGAAGGGACTCTTTGTCAAGCGACCACATCAAACCGCAAACCTGGATTATCTCTCCTACGACGAAGAGCGCTCAACAATCAACCCCGACAATGCCTCTGTCCAGAGCTGCCTTGCATTACATAGGATTCTCGCTTCGAATTTGGCTCTGGTGATGCTGGATGTGTCAGGAAGCACCATTCAAAGGGTCGTCGAGCATGGCAGTTCCGCATCTGAACCGACAACTGTGGCTGCACAGAGATCCGTTGGTGGATTTGGACCTCAGATTTCGCACGCTTTCCCTGCCCTGGCCAAGAATTCAACACTGCGTATCCTGACAATCGACAACAACCGCTTTGGAGAGGAAGGCATGGGCAAACTCAGTGAGGCGTTGAAGTCCAACACTAGTATCGGTGTGTTGAACTGTGACGGCAATGATGCGTTCACCCCCAAAGGACTACGGGCCATCGAGAGGATCTTTATCCCACCTCCATCAACAACAGCAATGGCTACTGTGAACTCTGCCACTGGTCATGAGGCCGAACGCAACTACACATTGTCGGTGTGGACACCTGATGGAGACGAGATCCTGATGCACATGCAATTACTGCATGACAACATTCAGCGACTGTCGACAGAGTACAGCCGCGTGCAGGACAGGATTAATCAGAGCGATGGCGAGACAAAGTTCCTCGGATTGACGCCTGTGGCAGATGCCGAAAAGCAGCGTGAGAATGCGAAAAGAGAGAGGATCGAGTACTCGGATAGACATGACAGGATCGTGAACGCGATTAGTGAGAACAATCAACGGACTAAACGCGCATATGAACAGCAGCAGCAAGAGTAGAGGTCAAAAGCGTATCGATTTTGATAAATAAATATGTACCATTTTTTTTCAAAATACAGCATATTCCATTGTTATAACATGAGCTATGCTGTCTCCTGCAAATCATTTTTGGGTCGCATGAAAAATAAGTGCAATGCCAGACATGCGTGTGCTTTTCGTGTTTTGTCAATCAATTATGCACATGATCCACTTTCGTCTCCTGGCAGCAAAACGCATAGACCTTGTTGGCCAGGGAGACATGAATGTGTATGCGAGGACGCTCCTTTTACGTCACCACGGGTAGCTGTTGCGCATGAACTGCTCCATGGCTCTTTTTCCTGTCGTTTGTATAGAAAATAATCGATGGCGTTCAACCATCACCAAGGAACCAAGGAGAATGGCTGGCATGTCGGACAGCAAAAAGCAATGAATGGGATGCTCAAGAGGCTGTGACCGTGGCTGTCAGGGGCATCGTCTAGTAAGAGACATGGTTAGAAACAAGAGCGAACAAGGAGGCTCGGATCGGCGGATCCCATCATCCAAGACGGAGTTCATCTCATTAAGAGAGAGAGAGGGAGAGAGAAAAGTGCAGCAGATGGATGGATTGGCACACACGCGTACGTACAGCAGGGTGTGCGGTGTTGATCGCGTTTGAAGAATAGAATTCGCGTTTAGAGAAATAGAGTTGGGAGTTGGCTAAACAATACAAACTAAAGGCAGGCTGTTGGGTTGGACGCGAAGACGCGCGCATGGCAACGACAAGAGCATTATTGTGTGTGTCGTTTGCAGGATCTCGCATGCGATTAAGGTTTGATAGCTCGACTGACTTGCAACACTCAATCCACAGCAAAGACGAGGAACCGTTCGTTGATGAACAGCAGACACTGCTTTCTTTACTCTTGGTCAGCGTGCCAAAAGGAATATCTGTGGATGCGGTGATTAGGTGTCTGTCTGATATTGACATGGTAGAATAAGGACAACAGAAAGGGGTCTTGATGCAATTAGTGGCGTGATGACCCGCTTTGGCCAGGGAGAAAGTATGATCAAGCGATAAGAGGCGATTGGACAGTGTGCTTTTACAATGAGAGGCTGCGAGAGTGAGTCTGCGTATTGGAAAAAAGATGAAAAACGTACTTTGATCAATCAATCAATCACCTATAGCAAGGATAGCAAGGATAGCAAGAGTAGGAAATGAAGGAGGATGAGTGAGAGTCTGTGGGGAGATCATAGGACAGCTCAGGAAGTAGGAAAGCGCAAGGCGAATACAGTGAGAGGAAAGAGAGAGAGACTGATGAATCTATGAACTGGAAGGGAGCATGAGAATGAAAGATGGACGAATTGTGAATAGCATTAAAGTATGGTGGGTGAAGAAAGTGGGAGAGAGAGGAAAGATTCAAATGGTGAACCATGGTGGAATATCAAAAACAAAGAGTCGGCATGAAGGAGAGCGGAGAACATGTCAAGAAAGTATGGGGTGAAATGCAAATGGATGATATGAGAGTGTGGGTGTGAACAGAAGGAAAGAGACAAAGGACGACAACGGGCAAAGGCTGCAAAAAGGAAGGATACAGGTGGACGCGTCTTGAGGAAAAAAAATAATTCGTGGAATTAAAAAGTGGGGCTCCGCCGGGAATTGAACCCGGGACCTCTCGCACCCAAAGCGAGAATCATACTACTAGACCACAAAGCCATTTTGTTGTGCCAGGAATAATTGTTAAGTGTCTTTATAGGTGTGGCACATGACTGTGGCTTGCTCTGGACCACATTATAGTCATGTGATAAAGCACGTGATTATAGGTGGCGAGCCTTCGTGTGTCAAAAAAAAAGTGGCGAGCCCTCCCCACATTCTCTTTACACCCTTTCCTACCCCTTCCTAGCCGACACGTTGCCACCATCAATGTCCGCATCACCTGATCGCGGAAATGGGAGAAATTCCGACGCACAACGGCCAGATGGAGCAATCATTTCCTCCATCTTAAAAAGTGCAGACTGGAGAATAAATGCTATGAAAACTACGGACTATTTATATGTGTTCTGGGACAGACGCGTGTCTAAATCTAAAGGCTTGGTTGGGTGTTCTTGGCATGGCCAAGGAACGTAGCCGATGGAGCCACGATGATACTTGGTGTTACAAGGCTTCTTAGATCAGACGCGTACTAGGTGTAAGGTTACTGTCGAGTGTG